TAAGATAATGTCACAATACAAGAAAAACTTAATGATGCTGTAATTTCAGATGCTATAACTTAGGGCTGCACGATGAATCGAATGCGATTGTCATGTATTATATTTTTGCATAAAGAAAATTAGGATTATTTTCAGAAGCATGATAAATCCCAAACGTTTCTTTAGCCACGCTAAAGAATTGGGAGCATTTGCACTTTTTTAAGCTAACGAAGAAGACCAGCCAATCAGAACACACTATGTGCTTCTGACCTATTTTTGCATGTTGTGATTTGCTAATATGTTTTTTTTTAGAGAGGGCATGGATGAGTTTAGCAAAATGGATGAAATCACGTACAATGTTCCGTCCAACTGTTGTAGAAACGCAATATCACTCTCGTACTTGAGTGATACCAGCTCTATATCAGCGGCTGTGATTGCTGATATAGAGCCAGTATCGCTCTCGTACTCGAGTGATATTGCTCATATATATATATATATATATATATATATGTAGGAGACTTTAAGAAATGAGTATAGCACATTACAAGTCTATACAATGGATATGGATAGCAGCTCAGATGAGTTGTCCTTCAAAGATTTTGATGAGAAATATGCGTTAATATTGAGATCTTTGACATTTGATTAAAGTTTCTGGAAAATCTAACCACATTTGGAGACACTTAAAATCTCTTGTGAAACTCTAGAGGAGAAACTAGAGCCTTTATCTCAGGAGAAACATCTAAGAAGCAGGGAACTTAGTATGGAAAAAATACTGTGGAAGTCAATGGCTACTGTCAAGTGTCAACAATCCCTTTAAGATTTTGATATTGAAAAACAACTCAAAATGCCCAGAACCGCTTATATTTTCTCATGTAAATGTAAAAATCTAGTCCATTCAGCAAGTTTCTGTTTTTATACTTTCTGAAAGTAACAACCAGTTCAACCACAATTATAGTACTGATTATAATGTGTTTAGTATGCTACATTTTTTTTCTTTTTCTTTCCTACCATGATTTTCAAACAAACATGTCCCATATCACTTTTGTTGTGATTGCTACACGATTCACGTTTCACATTATGCATTACTACCTATAATCTTCATAGCAGGGCAATTTTGGGATCCCCTGTGAGCAAACATGAAATGTTACAGGCCCTTAATATCCCATCAGCAGACATTTTGAATATGGCTGTCCGTCGTTCGCCTCTGAATATGTTTGTGTTGATACTCAAGAGTTAATTATGAAGGGCCTAGGGAGCGGTTTCGCTCAGGGCTGGCCATATGGATCAGGCATATTCTGCGTATATATAGAAAAGGGTGGCATGTTTAATTGATACAGTACCACACTCCATAAACATCCACAGAGAGGGAGAAGGGGGACAGATCTACAGGGAACTACATCAAACAATCAGTGTAGACTCAGACAAACCATGTTACTTTAAAGTGTGAAGGCAAACCGAGCGGAAAAGAGGGGCTCATCTGTCACTATGTCTGACCTGCCCCTGTTTCTCTGTCCATCGCTTTTATCTATTAGAAAAGCTGTTTGACGAAGAGTATTTTTATATATGATGATTTTGAGGACAGTTAACACAAATAAATGAAACGTTGATCATACTTATGGTTAGTGATTTGAGCAGATCTAAAGTCTTCATAAAATGTAAATCTAACTGTTCTTTAAAAAAATTAAGTTTTTTTTTATTATTATTGGTATTGATGGTTTTATAAAGAACCTTTAAAGGAATAGTTCATCCAAAAATGAAAAATCTGTCATCATTTATTCACTTTCCACTTATTCCTGCATGAATTTCTTCTGCTGAATACAAAACAAGATATTTTGAAGAATATTGGTGACCAAATAGTTGATGCTAGCCATTGGCTTCCTTAGTATTTTTTTCTATACTATGGAAGTCAATGGGTACCGTCAACTGTTTGGTTACCATCATATTTTCTTTTGTCTTTAACAGAAGAAAGGAACTCATAGATGTTTGGAACAACCTGAGGGTGAGTAAATGATGACAGAATTTTAATTTTAATTTTAATCTATGGAATCTTTCCATTCCACTAAAGTTTGGGGAAAGGGTTCTTTAAATATTTAAAATGTTCTTCACGCTAAGAAAAATGGTTCTTTTAAGAACTGTTCACTGAAATGGTTCTTCTATGTTATCACAGTGAAAACCCGCAATTGAGACCTTTATTTTTAAGAGTGCACACATTCTGAAAGTAACAACCAGTTGGATCGGTTAAGTCTTAGTTGTCGTTCTACAGTTTGTTTAGTTAAGCGCTTTGACTTATGGATGTGTTGTGAGAGGAGAGAGCGAGAGCGTATGCAGTCTTTCATTGCTGTGGATATGAATAGCTGGTGTTGCAGCCACATTTTGGTTAGCCAGTGTCTGGGATCTATTATAGTATTGTGTGTGTGTGTGCGCACACACATCTATGCGTCTGTTATTTTAGTGCTGCATGTATTTTTATAGGAGTGCATTTTAGAGACAGGTTTAATCCAGGGAATGTGTGCAGCAGAGTTTGCTCCAGTCTCAACTGCATTAAAATACAGTATATATCTTTTTCTTAAGGACAACAGGAATTCTCCTCATCTGGGATACTGGGGGTTTCTTCGGAGGTCGAAGGAAGTTTCATTCAATAAAAAAGAAATATGAAAACTTTTTAATATCTCGAATATATATATATATATATATATTAGTGCTGTCAAACGATTAATCGTGATTAATCGCATCCAAAATAAAAGTATATATATATATAAATATACATATATACAAAATAAGTACTTTTTATAACGAAGCACTCACTGCTGTCTAGCAAAAAACATCTGAGATGTTAAAAATATTTTGAATATATTTAAAAAATATTTTAGATATATTATTTCATCTTAAATATATTTTATCAATATATTTTATAATTTGTATAAATATTTATATATAAACACATGCATATATGAAATACTGTATAAACATGCATGTATATAGCTATGAAATATCTATGTATCAAATTTCATGTTTATAAGGTCACCGAAAGTATGTGATGTTTGCATACCTGTGGTTTCAGTTGTTAATATATCTTCCCAAGGGTTTAGAAGAATAAATAATAGTAAAAAGTTATTGATGAATCAAGATTTGTTCATGAAAACTTTTGCATGCAGATTTCACAAACAAATAGCCTATGTGCATATATGATGCACATGAAACTAATGTCTGGAACTGTGCTCAATATGAGCTCAAATATTTCTCATCAAGATGATCTGAGCTGCAACATCCATTTTAGAGCTCTCTGTGTTTACTGTATATCAGTTTGAGTCACATTTTTGTCTATTTCTAAAGGGATTTTAGGAGAAGCATCCAAGACAATCCTGATACTTCATGTAGAAATAACTGAGATCTTTATTAAGTCTCATCACGATCAGCTTGTGAGCAGCAGATCTTTCAGTCTGGCTCTTTGTGTACTACTTAATCACGTTACTCAAAATAGACCTCTTGCCCGATAATGCCGCTGTGTGAACAGACATTGCTTTTGCCCCCGGCTTTACTGTGTGATTTAACATCGTCCTACTGATGGACAAACTGGAATGGGGTCTCATTCAGTTCTGCACACCCAGTCAGCACAGCTCCCAGCATACAAATGAACTGGGATGAATGGACACGACACTCTGAGAGAAAAAACACAAACCACCTTGGCGGTCGTGCCGCTGTGTGAGAGGTTTGTGCTGAATAAGTCACGGATATCCTGGGAAGTCAGGAGGTGTGAACGGGAACCAGTTTGGAGAGTCTGGCCTGACTGTGCGCCGCATGCAGAGCTGCATTGAGTTTAAGATGGACTCCAGCACTGCACACGGCTCGCACAAAGTGTTGTGTTCACTCACAACTTTCACAACAGAGATTTTACTCTTTCTGAAGTGTGGTGTTTGCCTGTGCAAAATTCACTGCCGTGATGGTTGCTAAGGTGTTCTACGTGGTTGTTAAGCTGTTTCAGTTTTACTGGCTTAAGCCAAAAGAGTCCACCTTCAATTGTCTGTGATATTCTGATGTTTATGTGTATTTATATATATACAATAAATGTAAATAGATCATATAAATATTTAAAATAGGTGCCGGATGAGTTGTATTTATAATAAAATTAGCTGTAATAAAATAATGTCTTAAATCCTAAATATTACATGTATTATTTTTTTATTATAATTAAATCAAATATATAAATAATTTATAATTATATGCTTATGTACTTAGGCTATATAAAAGTATTAATGTTATATATTATATTATAATATAATATTATATATTAGTGTTTAAAATTGTATGTTTATGTACTTTATGAATGAATATTTTATTCATTTTTTTTTTTAAATATTTATATTTACATGCAAGTACAAAAAAAAAGACATAAATAAATTTATTAAAAATACAAAATGTGTAAATATATAATATAAAAAATGGTGTGGAGTTGTGTTTTTGAAATATTTGTGTGATTATTAGAACATATTAAAAATAAATAAATATAAAAAAATTAATATATTTAATCTTTTTTTGATTAAATAATATATAAATATATATATATGTTTTTTATTTATTTATTTTTATTTATTTTTTAATAAATAAGGAATTAATAATTCTGTTGATGTACTTTACATGTATAAATATTATAAATAAAAAGGTGAAAGATGAGTTGTATATTTGAAATATTTGTGTGTGTGTGTGTGTTTATTCATTCACGTTCTTGCTAGTGTCCAAAAATCTTTCAGTTCCCCTAAAGAAGCAGAAAAAGCTTTATTTTGAAAGGTTTTCAAATCTGCACAACATTTAAGGGCTTTTTATTTTCTAGTTCTTTTCAAAAACCATCTATGATTGTGTTTTAAGAACCCAGAGACTCAAACACTGATCTGAAGAACCTACAACATGATCATATGATTTGAAACCTCCAAACAATGAGCAACCCAAGAAATAAGAGCGAATGGTAAAAAGTAGCAAAGGCATTGTGATTCTAATGCTGATGACTGTTATTGATTATGTTTCAGGCCACCGAACCGTTTCTGGTGAATGAAGACCCGTCCAGAGGTCCTGGGATACCAGAGTGTTTCGTAGTGTCGGATTCCTACAGGGTGCGTCTGCTTATTACTCCATTACTGCTTCAGCATTGTTATTGATGTCACTACAAAATATACTGTAACCATGATTATTATTTCCATATGCACATATGCAGTGAAACACAGAAAAACACTGTGCAGAAAGTGAGTCTCATAACTCCACCGGAGCCTGTTTTCTTGTGGGAAATGAAAATTATAACGTGCGTACTTCTATAAAATGAGAAGTATACACGAGGGCAGGACTGCAAGGAAGGGAGGGCGAAGAAAAAACAGAAAGAAGTGCAGCTTTTAAAATTCCACCCAGCGAGCGTGCTGGATTTACAGCGATGGGAGTGAAATAAAACGGTCATAAAAACAGAAGGGCGGAGAGATGGAGAGATGGGAAGGGGAGTCTGTGGATGACTGAAAATGAGACTGTTAATGAGCTGGGAGCCGCTTTTCTAGTCCTCGTTTCCAGCGCATCGCTTTTGCCAACGTTTTGAGGAGAAAAAAATCTGGGTTGCTCCGGCGTCTCGGGGAGCAGGCGGTCGCAGAAATGGAGGGAAAAGGATGAAACGCGATTGGCTGGAAGTACAGAAGGGGCTGAGGTGTAAAATATAGCTGGATATCAGGAATGTGTCAGACGATATCGTCCGTCGAGTTCATTTAGAGGAAAAGGAGGGCCTGGCTGTATTTTTATAGCATTGTGCTTTTCTAGTTTTATTTTGTGGAGAAACCAGCAGCAGCTCATTAAAAGTTTCGTCATGGTGTCTTAGTGAATTAGTATTTTGGTTATGAACCTCATATCGAATCAGTGGTTCTCAACCGGTGGGTTTTGACCCAAAATGTGACCGCAGAGAAAAAAAAACAATTCTAAATGCAAATATTAAAATGCAACTAACCATATCATCATGCATGCAGACGGCAAAGTTAGGGATGAGATCACTTTTCCCACACACTACTGGTCAAAGTTTGAAAGAAGTCTCTTCTGCTCACCAAGGCTGCATTTATTTGTTAAAAAATACAGTAATATTGTGAAGTATTATTGTAATTTAAAAGAACTGTTTTGTATGTGAATATATTTTAAAATGTAATTTATTTCTGTGATCAAAGCTGAATTTTCAGCATCATTACTCCAGTCTTCAGTGTCACATGATCCTTCAGAAATCATTTTAATATGATGATTTGATGCTCAATGTTTATCAGTTATTATTGGTGCTCAATGATTAATAATGGTTCTTATTATCAGTGCTTACATTATTTGTGGATACCATGATACATTTGTTTTTTAGGATTCTTGGATGAATAGAAATATCAAAAGAACAGCATTTATTTGAAATATAAATCTTTTGTAACATTATAAATGTCTATATTGTCGCTTGATCAAATTAATTCATCCTTGTTGAATAAAATGTATTTATTTATTCGTTTATCCCAAACTTTTCAATGGTAGTGTCTCACACTTTTCTCAAAAGTATGAAGCAGCACAACCGTTTTCTACGTTGAAAATAATCAGAAATGTTTCTTGAGCGTCAAATCATCATATTAGAATGATTTCTGAAGGATCCTGTGACACTGAAGACTGGAGTAATGATGCTGAAAATTCAGCTTTGATCACAGTAATAAATGGCATCTTAAAATTAGTGCTGTCAAACGATTAATCGCGATTAATCGCATCCAAAATAAAAGTTTTTGTTTACATAATACATCTGTGTGTAGATTTATTATGTATATATACACATACAGCATATATTTTGAAAATATTTACATGTATTTACATATGTATATATTTATATTCATATAAATTATATCATATATAAAAATATTTAATGTATAAACATAACATATTTTTCTTAAATATTTACATGCAGGTGTGTGTATTTATATATACATAATAAATATACACAGTACACACACATATA